TCTAGCCCTTGCTGCTCATCCTCGCCACCCCTCAAGGTACATTAAGCACCTTCATGTACATTATTATGTACCATTAGCAGGAGGGCTGGCTGGGCCAGGAGCTTGTCGCTGTCGGGCACGGCACGCCGCCCGATGCTGTGGGCACTGCGGGGCAGACGGCCCCCGTGCCCCGCACGATCCCGTGGGAGCAGGGACCCTGCCCAGCAGCCTCGCCAGCTCTGCCCACCGCTCAAGCCCAGGGCAGCAGTTGCAGGGTCTTGGGGAGCCAGAGCTGCGGGCCTGTGTGTGCCACGGGGTTATCAGGGCTACCTGTGTCATCGCTGTGCCTCGGGCACTCGTGCTGTACTGCTCAGCACGGCAAGTGGAAAAGAGAAGAGATGATTTTTGCTTCGAAAATCTGCCGGTCTCAGCAGTTTAAATAATACCTTGAGTCAGAAGATCAAGAAAAGCCCAAACAGCGAAACAACAAAAACCTGATTAGCTGAAATGAGTTGCACAGCAGAACAACCTCACCGCGGGTATGAGCCAAAGCCCCTCAGCAAACCCCCCTGTGCCCCTTCGGTGGCTTCACACCCACCCTGAGCACCCCTCACCTGCCGGGGCTGAAAGCTGCTCACACCACCCCGCAGCTCCCCGGCCATAAGGACTGCCTCACGGGCACCCTCCACCCTGCTGTTTACATACTTTAAACCTCTGAAAAAAAGTGGAATTCCATTCATAAGCATTTATCACAACGAGGTTATTCGTCAGGACTCGCTCAATATTTCCCCACATGCCCTGAACTAACCTTCCAAAAGAAATACAAGTATTATGTTACCCTTTCCAATGGAGAGGTTATTTTTGTGCATCATCTACAGCTGCTATTAGCCAACCGATCTGTTAGCACTTGCAACGCTACAACCTGGGTCATTATGAAGGAGTCATTCCCATTTTTCACTTGGAAAACACAGCCAGGTGCTTCCCAGGCAGAATACCCTGGGAATGGGTAAGTGATGTGCCACCCTTGAGCAGCTTGCTGGCATTTAGGAGAGTATCTTTCTCTCCACAGACAGGCTATATGTAACTGCCTATTATTCATGTGGCATTAGAGAGAGAAGCATCAGCTCTGCCAGAATCACTAACCCTGTCACTCACCAGCCCTGCATAAATCAGAGGCTCTATCAGGCTGATTATCTCTGCATGTAAAGCTTTGAAAATACATAAATTAAGATTTTACTCTAAGCATAGGTGGCTTACAATGCTTTCTTTAGGATCAGATAGACCTCGCCATAGCTAAACATTACAGTGGCTGCTGATTTCTTAATCCATACTCAACATGAGCATTTCTCAGTTGTTAAGCCTGGTGTGAAAGAAGCCTTTCATGGTCAAAAAATCCCCCAAGAGGAAAATATACAGCCCACATTTTCAGGCCGTGGTGTGTGAGCTGGGCACAGGCTTACCTGCCACAAAACCTGTTCAACCAAAGGGGTTTGCAGACAGATTACAGACCTCTGCACGCACTTTCTTCTTATTTAAAATCTGCATTGAAAAATGCCTCTCATGCCTCTGACTTAACTAATAATTTGCCACAATAGATAACTGGCCAGTGGAAAAAGCAGGAGTGAGGAGGTTTTTTTGAGACTGAAAAGGAAAGGTTGGTGGCTGGGTTTTATGGACTGGGTGTCAGAAAGCAAGGCTTTCCAGAGCTGCCTGTAAGCCATCCCCTCCCACCAGCACAGTAAATAATCTTCAACCTAATTCCGTGGACTGCAGCAAGGGCTTCAGCTCTATGGCTTATTAATTAAGCTGTTTAACTTACTTATTTTAAGCCTCAAATGTACCTACACTTCTCTTTATGAACTCCGTGGGGCTGCTTGTCCCTGACATTAAGTATTACAGCGCATGGAGTCAGGGCACAGATTCATTTATCAACGAATTCATTGAAATAATGCAAAATTTCTGCTCATTTATATTTCAGGTGAGATCCTAGGTGCCCAGGAGCCAGGCTCAGAGAAGCTGCGCCCCACGCCCTTCAAACTTGCGTGTCCCCACACACCACGCAGGGCGGCTGTGGACAGGGACTGAGCCCAGCAGCCTGTCGTGCTCCAGCTGCGTCTGCGACCGTGAGGCCATAAAATCCACCACGTTCTTCTTGCAAGACCCCTGTAACACCACGCACGCTCCAGCCTGACGCCAGGATCAGCTCCCCACGCCCGATGTTAACTGACAGGTGAACAGGCAGGGCAGCTGGAAGAGCTCCTTTCTTTCCCCCCTCCCCCCCATATAAATGTCTACCAAAAAAATCGTCAACCCAGATAAGGAATATTTAGCGCGAAGATATTTCGTCGTGCGCCTCTCCCCCACCTCCTTGCCCCTCCTGCCCCTGAGCAGCAAGAGGTTTCTGTTCGAGTCCCTGCACATCAGAGCACGGCAGGGGCTGGAGGAGATTGCTCCCACACAGCAAAGAGCTGTGGGCAGGGCGGGGCTCTGGGATTTTGGGATGCCAGGAGGAGCTGGAGCATAGGAGGGTGGGAACCAGGTAGGGATCTCAGTGCCTACCTGCGGGCACCCACAGTGGCCGAGGGTGCCAGGGAGGGTGAGCTGGCACAGCTCTGGCTGGGCAGCTGCCCGCACACCAAAGAAAGCACCAGCGGCAGCCTGCAGAAATCATCGCTCCGCGTGGGTTTTGAGGTTTGGAGAAAATCAAAGACAAAAGGAAATGGCAGACAGGCTTCGCTGGAGCACGAGAAGGCAAACAAACCCTGTGGGTTTTCTGACTTGTTTTTTCTTAGGGAGCTTTAAGAGGCAGTTTGCAATCGCTGGGAACAAATTCCTAGAAATGAGAAGCTGTTATTACACGTAATGTAATGCCTTCACAGGCGGGGCTGGGAGGACTGTGCTGTGCTGGGCAGGCACTGCCTGTCCCAGGGACATCAGCCACCCCTGCGACAGCAAGAGAACTGTTCCCAGCATGAACTGGTAAGAAAATTCACCCTCACCTGCTGCAGAGTCCAGGTCTCCTCTGTGTGCACAGCAAAAAGTGAGGTACCACTTCTCTAAAGCAGATGATTAATTTAGAAGCCTAACGAGGAGCTGTCTGAGAAGGGGCTAAATCCCATTTAGCCAGGCAGGTTGTCAGTGCCTGAACTGCACAGCGACACTTAAAACAGGTCATTTTAGGCACTTTCCCAGCAGCGTGAGGCAGAGCTCACTGGGCTGTGGTATGAGGCTTGCACGGCACGTCGGGACTGAGCAGGGCTCATCTGGAACATGGCCACTGCATCATGCTGCGGGTATTGCCCCAAAACACGAACCAGAGTCCCCTCTGTGTCACTAGGGTTGCTTTATGGGAGGACAAACAGGCTGTTTATTAAAAGGCATGGGCAGGAATCTTCCCTGTTAAAATGCAGTGTTAAAATGGCAGTTAAAAAATGACAAAGTCAGGAAAAGCAAACGTTTAAAGTTGCAAAACCAACACTGCACATCCTGTTTGTTTTACAGCCACATCGAACATCCTGTATGTTTTACGGTTTACATTTTACAACGTAAACAGTCATATATTAAGCTACACAGTTAACCAAGAGAAAAACACAGGAGTAAAAAAATGCCATGTGCAAAGCAAGTGGGTCGGTACTGCTGCAGACGCCAAAGCGTCAGCATTTGTGGGCTTTTTGTAACTTTGACTGTGCGACCCTTAACGCAGTTGTTTTCATTTCCGTGGTGCTATCCCCCTTAAAGAAGAGTGAAGGGGTGAGATCGCCTGTGATTAATAACGTCAGCATTAAACGGTCCTGATTAGCCTTTGAAGTTCACACATGTTTCATTGGGGTCAGTAGGTTGGGGAAGAGGGTCAGTTCCCGGCGCTGCTGACGGCTTCGCGCGGGGCTGGGTTATCACCGTGTCACGCTGCCAGAGCCCGGCTCTGCTGCGGCACCGCGCGGAATCGGCACGCTTGTTTTTTTAAGGTTCAAAATTCACAGAAAATTATGAACACAACGAAAAATTCAGGATTTTTAGCAGTGTTTTAAGCTGGTAGGGTCACCCTGCCTCTGCAGTCAACCCCATAAAGCTCCTTCTGATTTAGCTGAGTCAGAATCACACTTTCTGTACGGCTTTAGGTGGCATCAGGACGATTGACTCCATGCAAAAACCTGCTCTTTAGAGGCTTGATGCATGATCGTTTCAAGCCAGACTTAAAGCAACACCCTTTCCCCCTCTGTACCCTTCTTCAGGACCTTTTCACAGCCCCTCTCACCCCCCCAAACTGCTGCTGCTTAAAGACTGCCAGATTAAAACCCACATTTGATGATACAAAGTAGATTCTCTTACCTGTGGTACTAGGAGGAGCTGATGGCACTAAATCTAACAGGGTTCTAAACTCTATCTTCCCTTCCTCCAGCCAGTCAGGTTTGTTTATTGTTATGTGACTTCCAGCTCGGACAGTGCAAACCAGACAGGTCCGTGGTTTCAAGTGCAGTACCTAAGCACTTGTTTGCCTGGCAGGCTGGAAGGGCCCCTTGTGCTAAGTTATCAAATGCACTGTGGTAGATGATAACTGTGCGCTTCCCACTTCTGCATTCGAAATACACATGAATCAAGATTTTCCAAATAAAATACTTCATCTTTTATAGGGCTGCCAAAGCCAGCTTGGAAAATAATGAGTTTATGCAACCTGTTTCTGCGAGCTGTATGTACCGCACGCAGCAACAGCCGGGCTGAAAATCCCACAGCTCTGCCTGGAAAGTTCCTGGGCAGAAAATAAAAGGTTGGTGGCATCCAGCAGGACACGACTGAGCGAGTCAGAGGATGCATTCCCAAGAGCAGGGGAAGCAAGCAGGCAGCCATGACAGCCCCCCGCCTCCCTCAATATTAAACACCCCCTACCCAGCTGCACTGGCAGCACAAAATAAATTTGCTTCTCATTCTTAACTGCAACATCCCAACCAGCATCCCAGTCCAGACACAAATTCGGCATCGCGGGCCCGCCTCTGACCAAAACCCTTGCAGAACATCTCTCTTACATGTCCAAAGGGATCCAGGTGGTTGTTGGTGAGTTTTAGCTTCTGAAAGGACACCAGCTGCCGCATCCAGTGCGCTCCCGTGGCCGGTGAGTCAGGGTGCACGTACAGCCGCCCCGGCATGGCCGGCTCTGCCTTCCCGGCCACCATCCTGCAAACACAGCAGTTACAGATTGCATCACCTCGGCAGCCTTTACCAGCCAGACGTAGGAGAGTGTTTTGTCCTTGAACTCAACCCAGCAATCCTCTTGCCAGCCGTGGGGGGACACGCTGGGGCACTGGGGCTCAGAGAGGCTCCTGCTGCTCATGGGGGTTTCAGGGCTCCTCGTTTCAGCATCGCAGGCTGGCAGAGGAACCCCATCTCTGTTCCCACGTGGTATTTCCTTGGGGCAGCGTGTCTACACGGCAATTGTGCTGGCATCGGTCAAGGAGGAAATCTCGTCTGGGTTTTTGGAGAGGACAAAGCCTTCAAAGGCCATTCTGCAAAGGGAGGTGGTCTCACACATTTCCCCCAGGAGCAGGAGCAGCTACCGGCGTGGATGCACCCTCCGCAGCCATGCAGGGCTCCTGCAGACCTCAGCCGGGCAGCAGCTCTGGTGGGAAGGGGCTGCTCGCTGCTCCATGGCTGCATGCTGGCACACCGTGCTGCCCCTCGTACCCTTCTGCCAGCTCCCCTTGTCCCCATACCAGCACCACCAGCTCTCATGGACACAAGACCCAACCATGAGACATCACTTAATGGCAACTCCTCCATTACTGCGCATTGTTCTCCTCTTATAAAACACCAATAAAAGCAATATTACCAAAAACAACAGTGACTTTCCAGCAGCAATAAAATGAGAAGGGGAAACAGCTCTAGGGCTGGCAAAAGCTAAATTAAACAGAGTTAACAACTATCCATCATCTAGGGCTTAATGGTTAAAACACAAAGTGGCCGCCACACCACAGAGGCCCTCAGTCCACTCCTCTTACCCAGCGGCACTTCAGGACAAAAGCAAGTGGAAAAGGGATTTTTTTTTTTTTTTTAAACTAGAGCAGCCCTAATGTGCAAGTAAATTATTACTGTTTTATAGAATGTCACCAGGCTCGTTCCCATTAAGATGACTACAAAATTTTCCATTGCTCGTCTTTTCACCAGGCAGTGGTTAGCGGAAGGGTTTGGGAAAAGCACAGTGAACAGTCGCAGTGAGGGAGGCTGCTGGGCACATTTGGGGGTAAAAATCAAAAAAGAAAAAAACATTCTTCCTTCGTCAGAAAGCAAAAATCATAGCTGCCTCTCAGGTAAGTAACTTTTTTCTATCAAAGGCACAGGGAAGGGAAGAATAACAGAAGAGAAAGAAACTACAGAGGAAGAATAAATTAAAAGAAAAAAACTTCTAAACTGAATCTGGCATTGGACTGTGATAGGGGGAATTGCTGCTCCCTTTGTCTGCCAGATCAGCATGGCTGAACCAGGGCTTTGAGCTTTGAGTAAACCACCCTACATCTTGCTTTATAGCTGATGGCCTAAAAGCAAAATATTACCATAAAAGAAAGGAATTTAAAACTTTTCTCCACTCATGTGGATACCTAATTTTAAGATCATCTAGCCCAGCCTCTGGTATAATGCAGGCTGTGGCTTTACCTTCTTACACCTGCACACAGCCAGGTAACCTACACTTGGCCTAAAGCACCTCCTCTGAAAAGACGTCCAGTCTTGAGCACTCTGGAAACGAACAATCCACCACCTCCATTAGCAGTTTGTTCCAGCAGTTAGTCCCCCACCCTGGCAAGAATATTTTATTTTATGTTTGTCTGGTTTTAACTTCCAGCTGTTGGCCCTTGTATCTATTGCTGCTCCACAAAAAAAGAGCTCTGGGATGTTGGCATCCCTCCCGTGGGAAGGTATTTATGTGGGTTTCTGAGTTTGCACAGCAAACGGTTGATCCAGTTGCAATTTTCTTATGGAAAAGAAGGCAAACAGAAATGTTATCTTACCATTTATTGTCACAGAATTTATACCGGTGGTCATCAGCTGGGACAATGTCGATCAACAGGATGTACTTGGTCTTGGGGTTCATTCCGGTCACTTTAACCTTGTAACTAGGAAACATCCTCCTTAGGAAAAGCAAAGGGTTAACACATTAGTCAGCAACCTGGAGCAGTGCTGGAACTGATGGAAACTTGGAGCCCTGCCTCAAAAGGCAGAGCCACCATGTGATGAATTCACACTAGGACAAACGAGCTACAAAACATTATTGCTGCACATCCGTCACCTGAATTAAACTCACCCTCCCCAGAGCATGGGCTGCACAGGGACAGTGCAAAATGGGTTACAAATAAGGATGAGGGTATATAGAGGGGGTTTATGTGCCAGTGCCAGGAAAAGGTGTGTGTAGAGAGAGATATGATGGAGAGGGGGGGCCTATCACACATCCCTGCTTAAAGGAGACTGAGATAGGGAGCCCTCACCCTGCATGGTTTATGGCAGCCTCAAAAATGTAGATTTCTTATTGCCATGAACATGCGCGAAAAGGTCTAACGACAGTTCAGAAGAAATGAAGCACACACAGCTTTCTCATTCACATCTTCCCAATGTCCACGACACCACATCCCACCACGTCATCTCCCAACACAGTGGCTGAACCTGCGTTCCCTGCCACAGACTGAAAACTGAGGATTGACAATGCCTGGGGGGAGACGAAGGGTTAAGCCCTGTGGTAGTGTGGACAGCCACCCTCCTCTGGCCTTCCCTAATTTCCCGAATTCACAGCAAGCCTGTTAAGCCTTGTTTGAGCCAGAAGCACGGCAGTGTTCCCCGCTGATAAACGCGCCGGTCTCCCTGATTTACCATTGACTTTAGCGGACACGTAGCAACCAACACCAAATTGGGATCGTCCCATAAACCACTGTATCATTAAAGAGTGTTTATATATATATTAAGTACCTAAAGAATCTTTCCAATATTAAAGAACACTTTTTAATGCAGCCATGGTTGTGGTATATACCATTGCAGTCTGGTCTTGTGATCCAAAGGAGATGGGTACGGGCACTGTCATGGGCTTCCAGAGCCCTCGAGACTGCATCAGGAGCCAGGGTTTGCAGGATCAGGCACTTTACGTCCTCAGACTAACTATTTTCTTGGCTTCATCTTCCCAATCTCCTCCTCATCCAGTAAAAAAAAACAAGTCAGTTGAGCAAATTAGCTCACCCCAACCTTCAAGCAACGAGCCGGAACAGAAAATTCTCCTTCCCACTGGCATAACGGGACGGAGGATGAGAATTGGTACATCCTGGAGTAATTGTAACTACCTTAATTAAGAATGACCCAAATTCTGATGTCATTTCTCCATTGGAGGTCGAGGACACTTTGCCCCTTGCCCTTTATCCCTCCTTCCCCCAGCCAAGCTGGCCCAGGTCTGCAGCACCATTTTGTCGCTGCTTGGCGAGAAGGCAACAAAATGGGCCCTGTTCGAAATCATTTCAATTGGCTCCTTTAACCGCCCTGCATAAATTCCAGATGTTTACCATGTAATTAGCCGGGACTAAAAAGGGGTGGTTTACCAATGTCCATATTTGATTTTCATTCATAAACTCTGCACTCCTCTTAACCTTGTCCTCCTACAGGTAAGCACCTGGATAAATACAGTAGGACATTTCAATTTGCGAATACACAGCCCAATTCACACATTGAAAAAAATTGCATAAGGAATCCAACCCGAATGCCAAGATGGGTTTTTTTTTTAAAAAAAAAAATAGGTCTTAAAATGACATTTAAAAATGTAACAAAAAAGAGGAGAAATTGATTAAAAACCAGCAATGAGATGGACACGATTTGACAGTCACTGCATCGTACCAGGCGAACATCCTGCATCGAGGATTTTTATAACATCTAGCTTCTGAATTTCTTTTTTTCTCAATCATTTCATTTACTGTAGTACATCCAAGCTGCTAAAGTAGCCGGACTGATATATTGTAAATGTTAAGTGCTTTTTTAATGGCATTTAAAATTAAGCTTCAGCATATGGAGTTCATATAGCATGGACATGCCTGAGTTTATAATGTTCTTTAGTATAGTCCTCTAAAATAAATACAAAGAGCCAAAGTACTACTATAATATATACAGCTGAAATTCTTCAAGGATAACAAATGGGGACTCACATCTGATTGAAGGTGTTGCTTAACTTGCAAACCGCTCGCTATCTTGCAGTGGTAGCATTGTACTCAGCAGTCGACAGACCCAGCTACAACCAGGTTTGCCAACTGTCTGCATTCTTTTCCAGGAAAACATGGGGTAGATTTTAGTAATTTGGCTGTGCATGAACATTTCATCATTATTATTAGCTGCTGCATTTTGGCCTTAAAAAAAAACCAAAACGCAACTAATGTGCTGTCCAGGGACTTGTCAGTTTGATTTTCTTAATGAAAACATATTTCTCAACCCCTTGGCAGGGACTCATTTGGTAAATATCTCTTTGCAATACGATACAAACATGGGTTGTGCATTTCTGGTGGGAAGGCATGACAAACCAAAGAGCTGCATCCAAGAAAATGCAGTCATAGAGCTTCAATTAAAAAAAAAAAAAAAAAAAAAAAAAAAAAAAAAAGGCAAGAGAAAGCACCTAATATCATGTCCTGGCCTTTATTAAATGTCCCATGTGAAAGCGGGGAGCAGAAAACCATGGCAGAGACACTGGACTGCACCAGCCCTTCCTGGGAGCAAGGCTGTGCCTACAGTGGGTCTATACAGCTCCCCATCAGCCCTGGGAAGGGGCCAAAAACCTGCCTGCTTCCCCAAATTTACTACAGGTCAATGGAGCTACTCACAGCCATGGGCTCTACGCTCAGTAGTAGCTTTGCATAACCGGCCCCTCTGCCAAATCTCTGTAGGCAGGAGCTCTCGGGCGGATGGGCGTCTCCGCAGAGGATGCTTCGTTTCGGCCAGCTTTCCCCGACAATAGCTTGCTTCATCGCCTGTTGCTCAGGGACCAGAGGTGGCAGAAGAATATCCCAGTGCTGCAATAAATACTTGCCAAGGTCTTGCCAAGCTCTGGAAAAGCTCAGCCTGGCTTTGGTGGGAGGTCTGAAGCAAGACCCGGGCAGATCCACATTTTACTCACCCTCCTTCCCGCTGCCGCGCACAACTCCAGACTGGGTGAGAGCTTCACTGGGTGGAAACCAGCTACAAAAATTGGGAATCTGGGGCTTCCCGGGGAGTGTGTCCGAACAGGTGGCATCTGATCCTCAGCGACACCTCCTGCGCCAAGGGCGGCTGCAGCCCTGCTGCGGCTGTGCGAAGGGGGAAGCTCAGCATGGTTAAGGATGGGGCACATGTGCAGCATGGGATAAACCAACTATTAGGTGAAGTTTAAGTCACTGATAATCAGGAGATTAAGAGCAGCAATTCCTGGCCTCATCATCTTTTGTTCGGACCCAAAGCCTGGTCAGACACAGTGTCCAGGGGCTGCATCAAATGCCCTGAATGTACGAACAATGATGCCATCTCTGGAGTGAGGGAGTCCAGAACCGGACCAATTTCTTCCCCTTTATGCTCATATTTTTGACAGCCACACAAGGTGTGTGTCTAACCCACTAGTACACAAGAAGGGACCATCCAGACTCCTCAGCACCATCTTGCTGGTCTCCTGTGCCCCTCAAAGCTCCCTGCTGGGTTTAGTGGCTCTGACAGACACGTTCCTACCTCCCTCCCTGTGCTGGCAGGGGCACGGTGCTACTGTGCGATGGCAGCAGCTCTCACTGCCCTTCAGAGGGGAAAACTTAAATCATTTTTTACATTCACACAAGGAAGCTGCCCTCAAAGAAAGCAATCACAGGAGAAAGGCTACGGTGTCTCACTCCTGTGTGAGCTGAACATCTGATAGGGCATTAAAATACCTTGGTCACTGGGGCTGAAGTGCAGGGTGATGCCCTGGGGAGAGCAGAGAGGCCGAGCCTGGCTCTGGGGACCAGAAGCAGGGCTGGCGTCACCGAGGCTTGGCACTGCACTGCCACAGCCCCGGCTCAATCCCTCCCTGCAGCTCTGTGCAGATGAAATGTAGCAAAAACAGTAAAAGCCAGGAAAATAAACAAGCAGCACAATTCTGTAGCCCTCCCAAGCTTCAAAGATGATGTGCGAGTGAATTATTTGTTCTGATAATGAAGCAGTCATTGCTTAGCTAAGTTTATGCTAGGCACATTTTATCTCTACATGATATTCACAAATTGTTTTAAAATGAACTGTTAGAATAAGCATCTCTTGTTTATTTATTTATTCTATTACTATCCAATCCCCTTAACCATGGAGCAGTTACTGACACGGAGCCAAAGCTTCTATTATGTTCAAACAAAGCTTAATTAATGTGTAATTGGTTGGTTAGATTTGGAAGCGAGCGATAAGAGGAAAGCTTTGCTTTCATTTGGGCAGCAGTTCCCAGCCTTTCAGGCTCTCTAGGCTTGGCCACTTCATGGGCATCTCAGTTGTGTTTTGATCCGCATATGAGCAGGCCTGGTTGGTCCTGGAGAGTTGGGCAACTACAAGGCTCCCAGGTCCAATAAAATCTTACTTTTTGGGCAGGGGACAGCAAGACAGAAAAGCCAAAAGCATCAGAGCTGATCAAAGAGCTCGAAATACTCATCTGAGCACCGACTGCCCTGTGCCATGCTGCACACCAGGACCTGTATGCAAGGGACAGGGACACTGGCTCATGCCTTGGTACTGCTGGGTGATGAGGTGGCCTCTGCAAACCATTTGGGCCTCATCACCCCCCTGCTCACAAGGATTTGATCTGACCTTCCCTGCTTAGATGCAAACATCATTTCTGATCCTACTGATGGGACCAGAAGGGGTTTCTCTGACCAGCACGTGGTAAGCGAGGAACTCAACTGGTATTTCCATAGAGAAAACTGCAGGCAAACAGAACGCCTCAGTCCTGTGGGAGCAATCCAAGCCATGCCCTCTCCAAAGGCTGTCGGTGCTCTCTGAAGCCCATGGGAACGAGCAGACTGGAGCTCACTGCATCTCCCTGTGGTGTGGATGGTGCTTCCGATACTACCGAGTGCTTCCTTCTGTCCTTTCAGAGAGTAAAAATGTCCCCCAGTCTTTCAGGAACTCAGGAGCT